TTAAATAATTATCACATAAAGCAAGAGCAGAAAACAAGACTGTTGTCATCCACTTTGCTTGTACTGAAACCTTTCAAAAGACATGACGTGTTTGCAGTTAGGAAAGTCTAAAGTGCAATTATTTTAGTTTCGTCTCTGGTGCGGGTTGCCCCCAGCGACTACACAATACGTGTGCCGAAAAACATTTTTAATGAGAGACCTAGTTTTCTCTAAGCATTTCCCCCCTAACCTTAGTAACAAAGATAGCCTGGTTGGACTACTTTGAACCTGTTTAGCAGCATTAAGGAAACTAATCCTTCAAATGGAGTGAGAAAAACAAACACTTGCGTGAACTGATGGTGTCATTAGGCCAGTTAGTCCGGGCTTTGACTAGAAAACGTCACAAGTCTTTCAGAACACTAAGATGACTTTTTACAACAACATTTTTAGATCTACACAGCTCAGCTTGGAATGACAAAAGTTAAAGTTGCGGAACGGTAACAGCCATGGCGCAAGTGTTGCTGGTGATTTAATTGTATATTAATAACAAAGTGTGTCACTATGAGAGGAACATGGGAAACAAAGACCAGAAGTATCGGCAGCCAATCTTTAAAAAAATGGCTTTAACTCCATTTAATTTTACAGATCCAGCATTAAGATTAGATAGAAGATGAGACAAATCTTCAACATATTCCGTTTTAAGAGATTGTACAAGATCATGTTGGCTTTTCCGTTAATGATGTGAAGTCAGCTGTCTGTTAGCAAAATGTCACATGAACCACTGGATATATTTTAATGAAAATGTCAGAACATGTCACCATACGCACATTTGTAATTGATTAACAATTGCAGCCAATCAGGGCTTAATTTGTAAACCAATTGATGCCAGAACGCAAATAGTGGGAGGGCTAGCTATGTGTGTGTATGGGGAGGGGGGGGGTCCTCCCCCATAAAATTTTGTATAAAGTAGATGTGATTTCCTGCATTTTGGTGTATTTTAATCGGCTGTTAAACGTCTACATTTACCTACATTTGTAAACACTCGGCTTCTGTCAAGCATCCCCCTCTTTACTTGATGGTTGCGGGCCCGTCACCGTCCCTGCTTGTTGTTGTCCGATCCATATGTGAAACCTCCAGGCGCCTCCTCCGTCTGGGCTCCTGCCCGTGTACGACTGCCTGGTTAGCTCTGCATTCACACCCACCACTCTTTTAGGGGCAGAGATTTTTTAAGGGTAGACGCGAAAATGCTTACTTGAAGGGACAGCTCGTATGTGATATTAAGAAGCTCGTAAGTGGCTGTTGTGTTTAAAATTAGTGTTTATGTAATTATTTTCAGTTTATATAACCAATATAAGTTTTATTAATTCAAGGTAGTCATATTGTTTATCACTTTATTATTAGTAAGCCTGAGAGTTACCGGATCCAAGCAGTTACCGGAGCGCGCTCTGTCAAATTAGTTCTGAATATTTTCAGGTAAAGTTTAATGTGGTAGTAGATGAGAGTCATCCTCAACACATACTCTAAGCACGTCACCTTGAGATATTGCATGAGATTGACGACATATTTCCATTTTTGCCAAAACGACTACAACTCTGACATTTTTCAACTTTGTCTAAAACTCTCGCTGAAATTTGAGTAACTTGTACAAAATAATTGGTTGTGTGCTGCAGGTGATCCACATCAAAGCAAATATTAAGCTGTACATTCTGTTTCTGTAGTAAGTCAGAGATGACGTGCCAAGCAAATAGCAACGACCTGAACTTGTGAAACAAAGCACAGGGATGCGTTTGCAGAGAAATCCATTAGCTTACTGATGTGACAGTAACAACATCTGTGTCCAGTTACGACTCTGTTCTCCAACACGCTGGATGTAAACAAGTTGCACGATGTTCTACACACCAACATCGTGACGACCATCAGGGTGTGCTCAGTCTCAACAGGTGAGCACTGTAAGTTCTCCAGGATGGAGAACGCCTCACGTTACATTTAATTAAATTCAACGCACGATATTATTCAGTCCAGAAAAATGAATGAATCCGTTTAATTTATGAATATATCACAGTATATGTTCATCTACATTCTGGTAGATTCTGCATTATGCACATGCAGAATACATTTGGGATATTAATTCAACTATGTGACGGAGACCTCTTGCAGTCCAACAGGCTGAACTCTGACTAAGTCGCACTCACTGTATCACATTTAGGTTGTCAGAGCAACCATGCAAATTGTTTCCTTATTTGCTTATAATTAGGGCTAGCTCCAGTATACAAATCTGGTCCTCTGGACATTCAAAAAAATAAATACAATCGTAGAAAAGTTTCTACAATTTTCTGTAGAAGATGTTCATTCTCTAAAATTATTTGACTTAACATAAAGGGTTCTTAAATGTTATCAACACAAATTTGTAAAAGTCACCTCCTGCACAAAGTATAAAAATATATCATCTGCTAAAAAATGTTCATAAATACATGTTAGATTAATTTTAAGTAATTATAACCCGCCTCCAAAAGGCAAGAGCAACAATGTTTTTGCCCATTTGTTTATGCATTTGTTACCAAGGTATCTCATGGATCACTGGAAAAATTGAATGAAACTCACAAAAAGTAATTGTACATCTGCAGCTGATTAACTTTTGCTTCGGTTCAACTCAATATCTGCCACAGCAAACTGATTTAAAAACACAAAAATAGATAAAACTCTTAATTTTACAGATGTTAAACTTAAATTTGATGTGGTAGTTGATGAAAGTCATTCCCAACACATACTCCAAATGTGACATTTCACAAGATTACATGAGACCGTGAATAAAGCTTTCTTCAAGGTTTGACCACAGTGGCTCTGCGAGTCCATTTCTTAACTTGAAGTCTAAAACTCAGACGTGAAAGGAAGCGGCAAACATATTTCTTCAAGGAATACTGGACCTTTTATTTAAACACTTACTGACTGACAAATATACACTGCCTGGCCAAAAAAAAAGGTCACACTCCTCTGCTTGATGCATTCTCAAACAGACCGACGTCTTTTCCACGACCACGTGATGTGCCTTTTGACATGGTTGTAGAAGAAATGAGAAGCAACTCATTGCACCAGTTGTGGTTAAATAACGTGTTGTCTCCTGAAAGATAAATCGGCCATGCAGCAATTATCCAATAGGAGGCTCGTACCTATTTGCTTAGTTAAATCCAAGAGGCAACTTTTTTTTTGGCCAGGCAGTGTATAAATGTAAAAAAACAAACAAAAGGGAAGTAACTGTGTAAAATCCTACTTGTCAGGAGGGATACCTGACTGGCACCCCTAAATGAAAATTCACAAACATAGAAAGGCCTGTAAAACCGTCACAACGTGAAGGGTTAGAATGGTTAATGGACTGTACTTACATAGCACCTTTCTATCTTATCGAGACACTCAAAGCGCTTTACACGACAATCTGTGCCCTCGTTTACCCATTCATACAGAACTCTACTAGATCTATACAGAGAATAATCAGAGCTTTATCACATTCATACACCAATGGGACACATATTGGAAGCAATGAGGGGTTCAGTGTCTTGCCCAGGGACACTTAGGCATGTGAATGCTGGTGGAATCAAACCCCCAACTCTTGCATTGGAGGACGACTGCTCTAACCACTCAGCCACATCCACCCAGAAGGACACCAAACCTGTAAATGTATATTTAATAAAAAACAACAATAATCTAGCATGTATTTTAATATTCTTTGTGTTCTTGTTATTTTTTAAAGGATTAAGGGATTAATAGGGACAAACATGCATGGCTGTATGTTACACAGTGTTTCACCTACAATTATTCAAGGAGGGAACCCCGCCCTGTCAACAGAACTGAGCGCCCCACCTAATAAATCAGAGTGGAGGTTGTAGCAGGCACTATACAAATGTAGCGCCCTGCTAGTGCTATAGTGTAACACCACCACCCCATTGACAATTGCCGGCACTAACAAAGCGCTAAGCTAACCAACCCACACCCCTGCACACTATACAGACGTAGCGCTCCTTCTCCAAACAAAAACCCCAAAGACATGAGCGCCCTCCTAGAGGAAACTCTGTCACATCATTTCAAACTTTTTGTTTCAGATTTCAAAAGTTACTCAAGAGGATATGAAGACATGTTTGTGAAAAACTCATGAAGTTAAAAACCGGACAGTTTAGCAGAAATCCTCCAGAAACATGTGGCAGACAAATTAACGTTTTAGCAGTAACCCTTTGGAAGAGAATTGTGCTTTTCTTTATTTCCCCTTCAGAAACAAACGAGATATGCACAGCAGACTGATCCGAGTGTGTTGTATTGAAACTTAAGAAAGAAGATGGTTTTAAAAACTTTTTTTTAGTGGACAATTCATATAACTTAGTTTTATTGTTATTCAGGCTGTGGCGCTCTATGAATGTTTTTGAACTGTATGTTTGAGGCTTTCTCAAGTTCTTTAAAATAAAGTTTTAAAACAGTAAACATCATTACATATTGATATCTCCTCCTTCAGAAGGCACATTCTTGAATTTGCCATTTGTACTGGAAACTGTTATTAAGATATTAGACATTAGAGTCTAGACTGACTGTAGGTTTGAATGTGATCCAGCACGACTCTCTTTAATAGCCTCTTACATGATTACAGCTTGGCCAGGCTCTAAACAGGGTGAAGCAGGTAGAGAAAACGAACATTTGACATCAACATTCTGCCGGAAAGAATAAGAACAAGAGAATAAAGTGCCTGTAAGAACACCTAACCAGGAAAAATACATTTGTTTGTTTTTAGTGACTCTAATGAGCTCTTTTAGAGTCATAGTTCAAACAGAAACTCCGTTTTGACCGACTTTAGAAGATAGAAAATGCATTAATCTTTTCACTGTGCTGTTTGTATGTTTAAAATAAAAAACTTCCTTTTTTTTTAGTCCACGAAAGTGCCTCAGTCGTGTGGCTTTAATGATGCCTGGTTTGTGTTTAACACCATCTTTATCCCACACAGACAAAGAAGTAGACATGTATGTTTAAAAAGAAAAACTTACATTACAGCATGAGGATTCTTGAGCATGCATGCTTTTGGGCCAAAAGTGGTGACGGGGCTCGGTCCATGAAGTGACTGACTCCTCCTGAAAAGAGAACCAAAGCATTCAGTTTTAAACACAAAGCATCTAGGGATTGGTGTAAACACGGCTAAGTTTAAACAACAAGAAAGGTACAACTTTCTTTTGGTTTCTTTCATAAGTACTGAACTTTTTTTTTTTTTACTGTATTTAAGTATCACAACTTACAAATTACTAAAAACTGGATAGAAGTGTCTAAGGTTTGTAGACTGCACATTTCACATCCTTTTCTTTCTTTCTGTGTTGTGTCAAGTAGAGATGCACAATATTATCTGTATGGTATCGGACAATATTAGCGATAAAGATAAATATCAGACATCGACCTTCCATCAAAATAACTCATCGATATAAATAAATATATATAATATGCTGTTGTTGTATGACTGTTTGAGTGTTGTCATTGTGTTAGAGTAAAAGTCATGAATAAATTTGACATTAAACATAATCCAAGTTGAAGTGTTACATCGTTTATTTTTCAGCCCCCTTTTTGGCATCTGCATTTGGTAGCAGGCCAAAGTGACAAAGACCATCAAGAATAATGTAGTATTTTAATTCACAGCAGAGAAAGCTGTGTAGTCTCTGTAAGTAGGTCTAGGGGAAAAATATTGGTACTGGTATTTTACATATATCGGATATCAGCCAAAAATCCGATATCGTGCATCCCTAGTTTCAAGTTTGTTTTTTTAATGGCCTTTGAGATTTATTTTAAAGTAGTATCTTACAGAGTTGTGACTTTTGGGGACTAATGGTGATTTAAACTTTGATCAAAATTTTCAAAATAAACCAATGAATAAAATATATTTTCTGTTGCAGTTTCACTGACTTCCGAGTGTTTGCAACTAAACAATCAAGGAGCCATGTGGTCATATATATTTTTTTAATTTTCATTTTTTAAATTTCTACTTTTTTGTGTGTGAATGGCCTTCACATGTATTCTAGGTCATGCACAATATTGTATTATCCATCTCAGGTGATAAAACAGCTCGTCGGCTCATGGGACGAGTTAGAGACCGCCTCAATTACGTTGAAAAGAAAGTAATCTTTTTAAAAGATCTAACACAGATTTTACCATTATTTTATCATTTAAACACACTTTCAAAGATTAAAGGCACAACATTCACCAGATAAAGCAGAATAAAAAACTACCTGATACTGCAACACCAACAAAAAAAATTACCTCTTTAAACTTATGTGGATGGATTGTATATTAAAACAACATGGAAAGGAGGGAAAATAACTCACATATATACTACTACAAAAATAAGCATGTAATTAAAAGTTGGGATTTTTTATCTTTTTATACGGTGCTGTGTAAAAGTCTGTAACCATCCCTACTTTTTACCTTCAGCTAGACCAGGGCTACTCATCTGGCGGCTTGCGGGCTATTTCCGGCCCATGGGTGACTTCAATCCGGCCAACTTCATTAAAAAAAAATATATATATATATTTTTGGTTTCGGGTTTGGGTTCCGTTTATTGCATTTATGATCCAATGCAATAAAATAAACAATTTTAAAAGGTAACAGACCATTATGAAACTTGGTTTATTTGCATGACTTTAATCGATGGATGTCCGGCCCCCGAGCCGTTAGCTTTCAGAAACTGTGGCCCCTTAAGCAGTTTTGTTGAATTTGTTTGAAGTCATAAAGACAGCACTTGGGACTCAAACAAATATTTTCATGACATTTCTCCTAGACTGTTATTATTTCAAACCTTTTTAGCTGCGAACCTCACTCAACAAATCTGAGAGCAAATACGTACCAGTAGATTAAAACACCGAACTTCTAAATCACAAACGGCTCCTCCATGGACATCGGCACTGTTAACCTATTTTCAGTCACTTTTCTCTTTTTGGAGGTAAACAAGCATGTGCCAACAGTTCACAACAATTTACTGACAAATGTTTAATTTTAAGGACACAATAAACATCAGTTTAAAAAAAAACCTGCAGATTTTGTTTCTTTTTTTGTTTTTTACCTGTCATGACATTGCAATGAGTATCTTTAACTCTGAGCTATTTTTAAAAAAACAAACAAAAAACAAAAACCTCCTAAAGTTAGGAGATGAATCATTGCCATGTTATTCATAAACAACTTAAAGAACCAGTTGGTTAAAATTCTACTTTCAGCCTGCTAAACAAGACACACTTTGTTCCCTTTTTTTTGAAAACTAGTCTCTAAAAAAAGAACAAAGATAAGACTGTTTGGCAAAAATTTACTTCTAAAGCCTTCTTGTTTGAGAAAAGTTTCGGTCACTGTCTTGATATCTAAAAGTAAATCAGAACGATTAAACTCAATCATAATGTGGTAAATGTTTCAACTTCCCAGACAAGGTTGTCTCTCTTCAATTACCAGCACTTCCCCACTTTTTAATCAACTGTATCAAACGATAGGAGACAAAATATTTACAACATCAGGGCTTAAATGATCTCCTGAGTTACTGCAACAGCAGCAAGAACTGAACCCACACATGCAAATTTCCCAAGTGACCAGGGTGGTGCAAGACAGGCCGTGTCACAAGGTGGTTTCACAAACGCTGTTGATGCAAACACCTAAACAGGGAAGATGTATGAAAGTACCAAAAGTCAGATTATTATCTGACAATTGTTTATTGTTTAATTGTTATTGCTGCATGGCAACAAGTATGTCACCACCAAGTAGTTTCATGTGCTGGAAGTTCACATGACCAGACCCAACTGGGCCAGCTGCAGCACAAACAGCTTGTCTGAGGGACAATTACAAACACTGGCAAGTTGCTTAAAAATCTAACGAGGTCTATAACTTTGGAAATTAACGCACTCAAAAGTTTAGGTGTGTTCCATATTACTGGTACTTTTAAACACTAAGAATGTAGCAAATGTGTTTATTACAATGCAACTTCAATTTTACTTTTAAAATCTGGTCTTTATTGTGCTTTACTCTTGAGTTATTGTTTTAAGTCAGTAGGAACATTTTGGTTACAGCTGTGTTTAGGGGTGCACTGATAAATCGGCCCCGATTTCCTTAATTTTGGGAAATCGTCCAATACTTACATGAGAAACCGATTTTTTTGTTTGTTTGTTTTAACAACAATTGTCTGAACTTCATATTTTGGAGCACTACCTCATAGACAGTTAAAACAAGTTTGTATTGTTTCTAGGATATTGTTCAAGGGTATGTTTTTCAGTAAAATAAGACGGGAAAATTGAAGGTGCATTGTGACCTTATAACACTTGACCGTGTCGCTTATAAAACAAAATCAGTATTTGGCCAAAATTGGAATCGGCAGGTCAGACTTTTTAGAAATCGGTGATCGGCCAGAAAACTGCATTCAGTGCACCCCTAGCTGTGTTACCTCTTTACGCCTGCTGCCATGGATCAGGTAAATTACCTGTGTCTACGTGCATGTATCTGTTAGCAAAATACCTCATGAACCAGCCAATGGATTTTTATGCACTTCTCAGACAAATAAAGGTTGAATGAATGAATAAACTCAAATTAAAATGGGCGCTGAAAGTGATTGGGCTCCGGAAATTCAAAACATGGCTATGATTTAGTCAATTTTGCATATATAGAGCTGAAATTTTATCTGGTAGTAACTGAGTCATCCGCTACACATACTCTGAGCGCTACAATGATCTTTGCATAAAAAAAATAATAGCACTAACTGCTGTAGTTAACCGTTTGCCTATTAACAAAATAAGTCATGAACCACTGAACGGATTTCAATAAAATTCTCACAATCATCTACAAACTATAAATTCTGAAATGGATTTGAATCAAGACGGCCATCACAGTTAATGATCAATCCACACAATTATAACTCAGTCAGTTTGACAACTACTGAAGGTTAGTGTGGATCGTTTAAAACTTTAACGTGGTGTACTTTGAAAGTTGTGAGCCAGGATCTCAGTGTGAACAGATCTCTGATCTGCACAATCATCACCTGTACTCTGAGTAGGTGGTGGCTGCTGAGGTGCTCAGGCTGCGGCTCTTGTAGCGCCGACCCAGGCCGCGGTTCGGGACCTCTCCTCCTTCACAGGTGGCGCAGCAGTAAGGAACAGCTTCCGGTCCGCCGTCCATCTCTGACCGTCAGGCTGGGAAGAACCGGGTGCTTCAGATAGAAAGCTGCTGGTCAACTCTACAGGCTACTTTAAAAACTAAAAAAAAAAATTACTTTAAAATAGTTCATAAACAATGCGAGCAACGTTTTAATAGAAACCTCAGATTTACAAAATAAATCTCCCCTTTACTTGCCGTCAACAAGAACAATTTAACAAAAACAATTTAGCATTAGCTTAACTCTGCTTAGCGACTTTTTAAAAGTTTTGTTCTCATGTTAGCGTATTAGATTCACATCTATATAAAACTGAAGCAAAAATAACAGCTTTTAACTCTCTCTCTCCTGATGTTACGTAAAGTCTAACGTTTGCAACAAGTAGACCGACAGGTAAAGAACTAGAATGTTCCGAGTGAACAAGCTCAGCTGGTATATTACGTTAGCTAACTAAGCTGTCCGTTTAAGTCAAGCGAAATACACGCACAGTGTGAAGTTATTATCGACCTCAAACTCTACCTTTAAGGCAAAACGTTTCGGGGGACGACTGGGACTGGAGTGCAGCAGACTGATGAAGGATTCATTCGCCGAAGAATTACGTTACACCATGTTCTTTCTACAGAGGAGCTGTCAACAGTCAGACCATGACTTCCGGATCCTGACGGACCAATCAGGTTCTCTGACCGTTGGTGATGTCATGTTGGAAGGCATAAATAGCGAAGTTCTTTTGAGTACGCCGGGCAAAAACCCGTAGAAGAAGTACGATTGGAGAGCAGACTCCACCCACCCGGCATAGCCACCTTGTCAGCCGAGTTTGAAATGGTGTGCAGCTAGGGGGGGTGGGTGGGAACAAAAGGCTCAAATTACCTTATTAATTTTAATAAAAAAAAATAACTAGGAACAAAGTTGTTCTTTCGAATATAATTTAAATTTAATCAAAAAAATAGACGAATGTAAAGGGGCTCATTAAATCCCAATTGGTTATGCCTTAAACTATGTGATGGAACTAGATATACTGTATAGGCACAATGACAAAAAACTTAATTTCATGACTACAGTAAATATATAAAAAAGAAAGATAGAAGATTTGATAATCAAGCACAGCAACAACAAAAAGTTTTCATTCTCTGTGTTTTCTTAACATGTAAAACACCCATTTTAAAAAAATCAAATATGTAAAAACCACAACAAAAGTACAAAGTACTCTACATACTGCTGCCTTTTTCATTCAACCTTTATTTAGACAGGTTAATCCCATACTACACGTAGTATACGCATAAATACAGGTCAGATATTATAACTCGTGTAATCTCATGTGCACTCTTTTTTTCATTCAACCTTTATTTAGACAGGTAAACCTCATTGAGCCTCGAGGACTCATTTACAAGAGAGACCTGATTTCAACAAGATACGTATTATTTATACTTGGTAGATGTTTGGTGCAAGTAATTCAAAAATATGTTAAAGTGTCAGGTTTTAGGACTACACAATAAGATAAAATAAATAAATAAATTGTACTGCATTGAGGATTTTTAACAAAGCCCAATGGCCTAACAGAAAAAAAAAAAAAAAGCTGGAACACCAGTTGATAATTTGCCAAAATTTCAGCTAAATAACAAATGTGGTGTTTATTGCATATTTTTCTATATGGTAATTAAAAACAATTATTATCGTTATTATTTACAAACGACAGAAAACAATTTGCCCCCCAGCAATCTGTGAATTTAACAAAGTAAACTGAAGAGTCCAAAAAAGTTCAATCTGGTCCTCTGGACATTCAAAAAAACAAAAAAAAATGTAGAAACGTTTCGTCTCTCATCCGAGAGACTTCCTCAGTCTGAGGTACTGTATTCAGCTCAGTCTCTTAAATAGCACCTTCTCAGAGTGGATCAACCAGTTTTGCTGCTGACAACCAAAACCAGCTGATCACATGCTCAAGAAGGACCATCAGCCTAACAATGGATCATTAGCACACTGATGGCTGTTTACTATTCACAGAGGGCTGAGTGATACTAGCAATCACAGCATTGTAAGAGGGGGACAGTTGAACCCGGAGGCATCCACCCCTGTTTAATGATGGATGATTTCAGGAGGGCTGTGATCAGTCTTACATCGGGGAAACTAAACAGCCACTGGCCAAAAGGATGGCCCAGCACAGAAGATCAACATCATCAGGCCAGGATTCTGCGGTCTACACTCATCTCCAGGCCAGCGGTCACTCTTTCAGGGATGAAGATGTTCACATCCTGGACAGAGAGGAACGATGGTTTGAGAGAGGAGTAAAGGAGGCCATCTTTGTGAAAAGAAATCGTCCATCATTAAACAGGGGTGGAGGCCTACGTGTACCTAAGAAAGAGAATTTCCACACGCACAAAGTGAAGGGAACTCAGGGGATTGGAACTGAACAGCTGTGTAGCCTTAAGAAAACCACTAATCAGTGAGGCTAACTGGAAAAATAAAGCTTCAATTTGCTAGGGAGCATAAAGATTGGACTCTGGAGCAATGGAAGAAGGTCATGTGGTCTGATGAGTCCAGATTTACCCTGTTCCAGAGTGATGGGCGCATCAGGGTAAGAAGAGAGGCAGGTGAAGTGATGCACCCATCATGCCTAGTGCCTACTGTACAAGCCTGTGGGGGCAGTGATGTGGGGTAGCTGCAGTTGGTCAGGTCTAGGTCCAGCAACAGTTTGTGCTCAAAGAATGAGGTCAGCTGACTGCATGAATATACTGAATGACCAGTTTATTCCATCAATGGATTTTTTCTTCCCCGATTGCATTGGCATATTCCAAGATGACAATGCCAGGATTCATCGTGCTCGAATAGTGAGAGTGGTTCTGGGAGCATGAGACATCATTTACAAACATGGATTGTCCCCACAGAGTCCAGACTTTAACTCCATTGAGAATCTTTGGGATGTGTTGGAGAAGACTTTGCGCAGTGGTCAGAATCTGCCATCATCAATGTAAAATCTAGGTGAAAAATTAGTGCAACACTGGATGGAAATGGATCTTGTGACATTGCAGCAGCTTATCGAAACAATGCCACAGATAATGCATGATGTAATCAAAGCTAAAGGCGGTCCAACGAAATATTAGTGCAACTTTTTTTTTTTTTTTTTTGGCCAGGCAGTGTATTTAAACAAAATCTATTAATGGAGAGCACATTTATAAATAAACAAGCCCTAGAACTTCAAAACTACTGCCGATGGTGGTGTTTCCATGTTTTTTTAATTTTTTTAAAGAGGGATCTTCTGCAGCAGCATCACTTCAGGTTCGTCTCCATGAGCTTCTGACCTCTGTACATTTTGTCCGCTCTGCACGATCAAACTGCTGCAGCTCCTTCAAGTTGGACGGGCGCTGCTCATGTCCAGCAACCTTCAGGGGTGCGTTTAGGCTCGCTGTCCAGCCGGAGGGTGAACCTCTGCCCCAAACACATTCACTCAAGAATAAAACTGGTTCTCCTTAAAGAATGTGCCCCATCTTTTAACTCTGATCAGACTCATTTCCTGTTAATAAAACATCCCCTCAGCATGATGTTGCCACCACCATGCTTCACTGAGGTATTGATGCTCTCAGCATGAGCTGGTAAGATTAGCCTCAAGACCTTTCCGGGTGGTACGGTGGCTCAGTTGGTAGAGCTGCCACCTCTCAACAAGCAAGCCACTGGATCAAATCCTGGCCATGGGCCTTTCTGGGTGGTTTGCATGTTCTCGCCGTGCATGCATGCCTTTTCAAGTTTCCTCACATACACCAAAAACATGCATGTTAGGCTGGTTGGCGAGAAAATGAATGGTTGTTGTTTGTCTCCATGTGTCCCTGTGATGGACAGAAGACAAGTCCTCCAGCCTCTCGCGATGATGGCTGGACATGGGCACCAGTGACCACCCACAACCCAAAAAAGAAGAAGCGGGTAAAGATGATGGATGGAAGAGGTTTCCCTTGATGATCCAAAAGTCAGTTTGGTCTCGTCTGACCTTTGGTTAGGTCAGTGGAAGTGGCCTTCAGCTCTACGCCGCAACTTAAAATTCAATCCCGATAGAAACATAGAAGCAGAAACTTAAATTTTTGTATCGGGACACGCAGGACAACAAGGAGTCAAGCAGAGATGAGCCACGCCGATTCAACAGTGGATAAGAAATTGTTTATTTGACTTAAACATAATTACAAGGAAACCAAACAGTCTGCAACATTCTAGCTTCAGTGGGAATCGCTCTAAGTGAATCACACTCAACACAGTAGGTCATCTCAAACTGCTTTTTATTACATCTTAAATAACAGTACATTTTAATATAGTTTCTATCTTGCATCCAGCTTTCGGTTGTACACTGACTGACTTGAAAATTAAATACAAAAGGTGAAAGGGGGAGCAGTGGAGGGGAGGGTTGCAGAGCTCTACAGTTATTCGATGGAGAAAGAGAAAAGGAATTTAATTAATTTTTAACATTTTTTATTGTTTTATTTTTTGCCAACTCCAGGCCTAACGCACAATTACAGCACATATTTTTTTTTGTACAGAATGTTGCAGAGAAATAACAAAATGGAGGGAAAAAAAAGTTACTACTGCTAAAGAAAGAGCGTATTTGTTTACAAGAAGGGAACAACAGAAAATTCTGCCATTCAGATGCTGCAAGATTTATTTATTTTTTACTTTTCTTATTAAAGAAAAAAAAAGAACCTGTTACAAAATGTTTCTGTAAATGGAATTTTGTTTGCTACACAAGGAATGAAAATTTATTTGTTCCATTTGGACAGCTTGTGTTTAGGCGGATGAATGTATGCACGCATGTGTGTACAATTTAAGCGTTCACGTTGCTTCTAAAATTTGTGGAATCCCTCCCAAAATATGGACCAAGTAACCTTTAATGTTGCAGGGTTCGCTTCTCGAGTGCATAGCTTTGACGTTTCGGTTGAATCATGTATGCACAGAGTAGCCAAAAAAAAAGTAAAATAGAAAGAAAAGTATAAATACCATTGTATTGATATATTCAACAGGTTATTTTCTTAAAGTAAAAACATCAAAAGGACTTAGTTCCATATGCACCTTTTAAGCAATTCTACAGCATGCGATTCTAAGAGATAACCCACCCATGGCAGACAACCAAAATCCTTTTTTTTTTTAACTTAAAAAGTTTCAATATCATTATTTTCAAACATTGATTTATACAACATGTCATTCACAGAGTAGTAACTGCATTTCCAAGCACGGAATGGGCACCTCTGTTAAAAGAAACGTCCGGATTGCAGCCAGGCTAAAGTGGAGGGAGTCCCTACTCAACCGAATCACATCACCGGGCCCGAGCACGGGCAACAGAAACTAGACGAGGGGGAACAAAAACAAAAAAGAATAATAAAAAAAAAAGGGAGCAGGGTGGATTATGATCCGATGGGTTACTCTTCATTTAATTATTCTACACTGTTGCCAGACAGAAAGGTGTAAGAACGGTTAAAATGTGTGTATTTTCTTCTTTTCGTTTTAAAAACGAGCATTCATTATCATAAACAGCATGTGCTTGGTTAGTTCACTTTTTTTTCTCTTTAGACATTATCCTATATATGCAAAGTTTAATTTTTGTGCAAACAAAGATCTGTGGACTACACAGGAAAAAGGAAACGGTAAAGTATCATGGAGCTAAATATACAGAAGGGCCAGATGTGGCTCGAGGACTCCCTGTTGAAGCTGAATTCTCTCACTTTGTTCTCCTGTGGGATAAAGCTGGACTTAAAAGAACAAAAAAAAAAAAAAAAGACATGATCTGGAGATCAATTTACTTTTCTACCTAAAAACGTTCTCTAAAACGTGTAAAGACTAGGAAAAGAAACAAAGCTTTGATCCTCATTTTAAGCATTAAACTGACAGTTCACTGATCTACCTCTCATCAACAATGCATCATCAGGAAAACATAAAAAATAAAATAAACATGGTCAAAAAGCTGTTAAGAGTTAGATCACTGTCGTGTAATACCCTTCACTCAGACCTGTGCACAATGAGGATGCGTTTGCTTTGTAATGAAGCAGTGCTGGGGTGGGGTTTTCTTATTTTTCCACTAATTACAATCCCAGACCACTTCGGAGGAAAGCACAATTTTCCCCTCCGGTCCACGTTGAAACTAAATTCCTTTAACTTTACGTTTTGTCCTTTTTGTTTGTAGCTGAATGGGTAGCAAACAGTTGTGCTCTTTTAAACGAGAAGGAGATAGAAGGAGAGAATTTTTGCCCTTGATAGTTTTTTTTGGGGTGTGGGGGTGGGGGTGTGGAGGGTGGGGTGGGGGTGTCTGGAGTCAGTATCATGGTGTTTCTCAAAAAGATTGGATATGCAATAAAATTGAACATTGTGATGTTGGAATGGTCTTGCACTCAACTTTGGAGTCTGGATGCCATCTGGAAAAGAACAAAAATGTAAGTTTTACTATTAATACTAAATATTTTATATATACAAAAAACAAAACATCTGTTAGTTCTATAAAAATCTAACTAAGAGGTTCTTTTGACTGCGTGAAAGCCGTTGTTTCACTTCCATGGTGCACCTTCATTCTTGACCGCCAGGTGGCAGCAAACACAAACTCTAGACGAGGCTCCACGAAGCTCCCTGACACCAGAGAGCTCAGACACTTTACCTTCAGATTCTAGTTCCAGATCTTGAGGAAGCTGTCCCAGGACCCTGTTGCCACTGCCATGCCGTCATCAGTCACACCCAAGCAGCTCACTCGGTTATCGTGACCGGCCAGGACACCTAAAGGCAACGACATTAAACCCAGTGGTTTTTAAAGGTAGTGAAGCTTGGCGCCTTTATACTGAAAAAACAAGACGGAATATAATAATAGCACAGATTACAGATGTTATCGTTTAAAAAAAGTAATCCTGATCTCATGCATCAACTTTTATTACCAGCTGTGCTCATATGACGTGCACACACAAGTTGGTTCAGCGTTAAAAAAACATAAATAAAAAAACTATAAATGATTAAAAAGTGCATATTTTAGCCTCTAAACAAAACAGAAGTATGGAGCAACAGTGGGATTTATAGAAAATTTAACCCACAACAAAACGTCACAAGACGGTGATGTCATCAATGTCAGGAGGAACACGGGTGACCTACGACACGCGTGTCAAACTCCTCTAACTCCAGGTAAACTGGCTGCTCCTTTTCGGTCTCCCTTGTGCCACAAAAGAATGTCATAAATGAGGAAGAGAGAAGAGACCGGGTTGTACGACTGCATTTTTCATCGAATTGTAAACTAGAAGAGGTTTATTTTTGCGCTGTGAATACGAGTGACGTGACTTCCGTAACGTTCAGCTGTTTAAGTTAATGAGCTGCGTGGTCTGAATTCAGGGAATAATGGAAGTGAAAGGTGTGTTCAGACTGTTTATTAGAATAGCTGAGCAGCATTAAGAAGTGTGTAACGAGATGTGCTTCTCCTGATCCCACCCTCAAAGACGTCTGTCAAGTATTTATATCGTCAGAGTCTTTTCGCTCGTAGATCAGGGATTCTTTCATCTGCTTTATTAGAATTCAGACATGAAGATAAAAACCTAAAAGCATAAAGTCCTACTCGACAACATACTAATTTAAGAGTCATCTAAATAGAAAAATACACACCAACCACTCTTACACCGAACTACACATGGTATAGCACCTTAATGCAAACACCCGAACTGAAGATGTTCTGTGAAATAAATTTGATATCAGACGGGCTAAAAGTTTAACTTAATCCAGTTTCCAAGTCAAAAGTCTTCAAGGACACAGTAACTCTGAACCAAACACAAATCAGAAATTTTTATTATGTTCACAAGCTCCAAATTATGAATACCAACATAACGCCATGATAAATTTCATAAGATCACTAACGAGGACAAACATTGAATTTACCCGACAATTCAAATCAAGCACATTACTGTGTGGCTTTGCTTGAGGAAAGGTTCTTGGGAACAGAGATGTCTTTCTCTCCATGTCAGGTTTTACAGGCTATTTAGAAAAAAAAAAAAAAGATCTGGACACGACATATTACAATCTGTTGATTCTGAATTGTTGTATGTGTTTACCTCCTTCAACTTAAGTTTGATAATAAAAAAAATGTATATTGACAACATCACCTTCTTGTCAGAGCTATAAACTTACCTTCAGGTAAACACCAATTTAAAACATATGCATCATTACCCCTTTGTGATTATTTGTCATATTTAAACAGAATAAACAACTTGTGACTGCATCCTGTTCCACAAACTACTGAAACAAGTGCATTCTGGTCATTTTACAGAAAGCAACATCCTCCATAATTAACCAAACAGCCGACTGCCTGACTTATATCAGTGCCTGTAGAGATGTTCTGTTACTGGTGCCTTATATTCACTTAATTATTATTATTATTATATCCACCTCCATTAGCTCATTGCTTTGTCAGTAGGTGGCCTATCAACTGTAAGACTTAAGAGATGTGTAAAATTTTACGACAAAAGTCCAATACAGAATAAACATATTTTTGCTTAGTGCCAGGCAACTGAACAAATTGTGTAGAGTAAAAAATAAACCTCTCCACACACTTCTGTTCTTTCTACGTTTCCCTCTTCAGGGGTCGCCACAGAGCGTCATCCTCCTCCATCTCTGTCGTCTGCACCCTCTGTCCTCACTCCAACTACCTCCATGTCCTCTTTAACTCCATCCATACATCTCCTCTTTGTCTTTTTCCCGACAGCTGGATTTCTAACATCCTTCTCCCAGTATACCCACTGTCCCTCCTCTGGACATGTCCAAACCATCTCAGTCTGGTCTCTACAACTTTATCTCCCAGTTGTTCAACCTGTGCTGTGCCTCTGATGATCTCATTCCTAATCTAATCCATCCTTGTCACTCCTAAGGAGAACCTCAACATCTTCATTTCTGCCACTTCCAGTTCTTTCTCCTGTCTTTTTGTCCATGTCTCTGTCTCCAGACCATACAACATAGCCGGTTTCACCACCGTCTTGTAAACTTTTCCTTTGACCTTTGCTGACACCCTTTTGATCAAAAATCACTCCTGAATCTTTTCTCCATCCACTCCATCCTGCCTGGACTCTCTTCCCCATTCACACAGACACACACACTTCATTTACAGTAATAATAACACAAATGTCGACATATTTCTGGCACACAGCTGTCTTAGTCCCTGAAACAGCTTGCTCATACGAGATATCATCATGTAAACAAGAGTTACACAGAAAGTTGGGGTGTGAATGATCCATGCGTATAAGCAGCAACTGATTCCAACTTATGCATTCTGCTCAATGCAAGTACTCATAAAATAGCAAATCCACAACAGGATGCTTCTGCACTCAATTAATCTGAAACCACTGTACATTTCCTGTTGGTATATCAAATATCACTAGACTTGCTTCATTTTCAGAGAGTCCAACAGAACCTATAACATTCACTTACAACGTTGGGAGTGTAGTTTGTTAATCAGGAAGTGAAGGTTGTGAGTTTAATATACCATGAAAAGCCTCTTTCAGAATAGATTTGCAAAGAGATTAGCAGCGATACCTGTTAAGTTTCTGGCAAAGAAGTGACAGCCATGCTCACTTTTGGTTCCCTGAACCCACGTTTATAAACTGACAAACACCAATATACTGTAAATTCTGTTTACTGCTCTCGGCGCAACTCATTACTAAATTTTTGAAAAAACAAACGGAGGTGACGGAAATCCGACTCCACAGAATGGTTTTCTACATGTTTTATTGACAAGCGCTTTAAAATAACCTGACGTTTAATTAGAAATACTTAAAGATGTAGAAGACACGTAAATTTGGCTAGCTGGTAGCAAAAGATCAAGCTTAAATTTAATTCAATTCAGTTTATTTATATATAACGCCAATTCACAACAAAGTTGTCTCAGGGCACTGAACAGAAACATTCACACACATAGAAAAGCCAGTTAATAATGAAGACTGAGACTCACTTCAGTTTTCCATCTTTTGAACCGTAGCTTACCTGCACGGTCGCCCTTCAATGTGTCCCAGACGTTGCAGTTGAAATCGTCGTATCCAGCCAGGAGTAGACGGCCACTCTTGGAGAATGCTACAGAGGTGATGCCACAGATGATGTTGTCATGTGAGTAAACCATCAGCTCCTGGTCGGCACGCAGGTCAAACAGCCTGCAGGTAGCATCATCTGAGCCCGTGGCAAAAGCATTGCCGTTAGGAAAGAACTGCAAGAAGAGAGAGGAAAGGCTGCTTTACACTCTGTGCACACGTCAATAACACAATTTAAAGCAATTCATCAACAGTGCGCAACTCTACACAGCAGAGCTAAAATGTATAATGCACTATAAATTCCTAGCAATTGTAAAAATAACAAAAAAAAGTAGTTGAAATAATATTTCTCGGACTACAAGGCACAATGAGGTGTAATATCAATGAACGGGTCCGTTTTCATGCATAAGGCGCATTAAGCGAAACAAGTTCATTTCATAATACACAAGGCGCCCTGGATTATTTATTTTTATTTATTTATCAACCTTTATTTAACCAGGCAAATCCCAATGACAACACAGATCTCTTTTGCAAAGGAGGTCTGGCGCTGAAGGCAGCCCAACATGCATGTTTTTGGTCTGTGGGAGGAAACCGGAGTACCCGGAGAAAACCCACACAGGCACGAGAAGAACACGCAAACTCCACACAGAAAGACCCCAGGTCCAACCGGGGATTGAACCCAGGACCTTCTTGCTGTGAGGCAACAGTGCTAACCACTGAGTTGTCGCGCTGCCATACAAGGCCTTAATATTATAAGGCTCACTGTCAATTTTTGAGAAAATTACAGGATTTTAAGCGTGCCTTATATTCTGAAAAATACGGTACTTTAATTTGATGCGAGTTCATGTAAGAAAAGGACTTAAATTTTACTTTTTTAGCCTAAGCTCATTCTAAAGTTAAGCAAACAAACATGGTATGCTCTGAATTCAGAATAAACATGCAAACGATTTGAAAAAAACAAAAAAACAAAACAAAACCCCAAACAACCCTGTATTTACATTTTGTTAGAACAACTTTGCAGCTAAAAGTGGATGGAAAAGTGCACCTTTGTGTGAATAATATGAGAAATGTGCTTCTAAAATCCCTACAATATCAGAAGCGTTCATTTCTTTAAAGGCATTTTACTTCAGGAGCTGGACAAACTCGAATTCTTTTTAAATACATTTTATTCAGAATTTAAGAAACTGAATTATTTTTAACTACAGCTAAAGGCTTTCAGAATAAAAGTCATCTATCTCTCTGTGCAACAAGCCTTTTCTTGCTTTGCTTTCACAGACTGGGCTTTTATTTGGACATATTTATTTTTATTTGCCCTGATGTCTAGGCCAGCATACAAATGACACTTCTTTCCCTAACTTTTACAACTAACTGCTTCTACATTTTGCCTGCAGCAGCTACATGTACATTAAGCAGCTTCACACTTGAAAATTGAAAAGATTTGTATGCAACAAGTTCTGTGTTTGTGTGCGGCCTCGTACACAGATGGCATTGATGTCCGACTCGTGGCCAGTGAAGGTCTGTCGGCACATTCCTTCTCTGATGTCCCAGAGCTTGGCCGAGGCATCGCAGGCTCCAGACACAAACAGCCTGGTGTCAGGCGCCAGAGAGAGACTCATCACATCACCGGTGTGTCCGGCAAATGTAGTCGTCTGCTGACCGGTCTCGATGTCCCACAGAGCACTGCGAGAAATGCAGAACATGAAGGTTAAAAAAATACCTCCACAAAGTAACTGCACACAGGAACTGAATTGTAGGTTTGATCCAAACAGACTCACTTTACAGAAACTCACGATGTGATGACTGAAATTACAGTTCTCTGCAAAATCACAAGTTAATATCTAAAAAAGTTAGGTCAGGTCCCCTGGACGTTCAAAAAAAAAAATTAAAAAAAAAAAATGTCCAGAGGACCCGACTTAACTTTTTTTACATTTTTCTACCTGGATTATTGAGCATGAATCAGGATATTACAAGTTAATAGTTTAATTTATTTACCCTCGCAGAAATAATGTGACAGCACAAAATAAAATACTTTTTTTTTAGCGCCGATAGTAATGGTACAAACTGAAAATTAAAAATTTTTTAAAAAACGTTTAGTAATGAAAGAAAATTAATATGAGGTAGTAAATATTGATGTTGCATTAAACAGTATTGAGTGCAATACCATAACTCACCAGGTGGTGTCTCCAGAACTAGTGACAATCTGGTTGTCATCCAGAAAGCGACAGCAGGACAAGTAACCTAAACAAAATAAAACACACCGATTACTTCATTTTGAGCTACTTCTTTCCTTCCCATTATAACCAAGAGTTAAAGATTTAATTGTTTCTCTCTGAAGAAGAAGAAGAGGCCTCATTTTAAACAGTCATCACACCCACAGAGAAGGCTATGTGAGCTTGATGTGGGGGAGATGAATCGACTAATTCACAACCACAAAAAGAAAAGAAGCTGTAGGGCATCTCCTGCTTCGTGACTTGCTTCCATAATTCATCCATTACTAGTTGGTAAAGTGTATATACCCCTCCCTATAGTTAGGGAACTGGAACTAAAATGCTGACACACTTCCTGCATCATGTGACACTGATCAGATGAATGCTCCTTGCTTAACACTTTCATTAGTTCGTAATGGTGTAAGGTTTGCTAACCATCCGAGTTCAATAAAGTTAAACTACAAGAATGGCATATTTTTAAACAGCGCTTAGGACATGGGCATTAAATAAAACATATATTTTAAAATGGCTTTTATTTACATATTCTTTTGGACACCAGATTTTGTAACGCACAAAAGCTCAAATTAACCAAATCTTCAGGTGATGAATGTAACTGTGTTCATTTTTTTCATATTTGAGTACATTTTACAATAAATTATTAAGTTGCATACTGTAACATCAAACAGAATGGTAAGCAAATAACAGCAGCAGTTCAATGCTTGAGTGACATTTCTGATCAATTTAAAATCCCCACATTTGTTTTTGACCAACAGATGTGCTGTTATCTGGTCAGTGATGCCTTAAAACTTTAGCTTACTGGACAATGTTCAGCTATTGGCTGCAACTTGAGTTGGATTTTATTGAGTGCTAAAATAAACCTAATCATGTGATTATACACCTTCTGAGGGGGTACAAGTCTTGGTACTGAGCTGTTCAAGTATTTAATTTCAATCACTCAAACTCATGACGGTGGTCACGAACATGGGTTGGGGTCGTGACTCGTTTTATGGTTCTTTAAGGCTCAACACCTAGTATAAATACGCTTTACTGGATTTATCTGACCTTTTATAAAATTCATTGAATGATGAATAAGTAGATACAAGCCAACAGAAACGTCAGGTCTACCTGTGTGTCCAGCCAGCTCACGGCTGACGCGCACATTTCCTTCACGGGTCTTCAGGTTGTAGATGGAGCAGATGTTGTCCAGGCCACCACAGGCAACATAGTTCCCAGAAGGGGCGTAGGCGCACGTCATCACCCAGGAGGAGCGCAACGGGATAGCATGGACCTGGAGGAGAGAAAGAAGATTTAATATTAGATAGTATGCAGTGACAGATGGAAGGGGAAGAGGGAGAGGAGGGCAATGTCACAAAGTCTGTCTGCAACATTAACGTAACCTTTCAAGGACAATACCCACTATAAATAGCTTTCACTTGGCAGCTACAAACACAATCAACTCAGTATTCTGTCAATTTAAACAAAGCCATCTTCTGGAAATCTGAAGGTGATAAACGCTGTTTCATATTGTCACAGTCTAAACTTTGTTTTGCTTAAAACATTATACTCCTACTATAAAATTATTCAAGTCTAATAACTTATTTGCTCTGGTTTATGTGCATTGTATTTGTGCTGTTGTTGATTCGTTCGTGTTTGAGACAGAGGCTTGATTAGAGAGTGGTTTAGTCAGACTTTTAGTATTATATTAGCTTATGCTCAAAGTCAATACATATATCCTTTAAACAAAATCTTTTAATACAAGTTGATCAATTAAGCGACATCTTTTTAAGTAATTACATCCTTTACACTGTACTTAGGCTCATTCAACCCACCGATAGTGTTAATGTAATAAAATTTGAGTTTTTTTTACCTTGTTTGTGGTGTAGCTGTCCCAAATAATGAGTTTGCCATCCTGGGAAGCACTGACCAAAAGCCTGGTAAAAAAAAAAAAAAAAGAAGATAAAAATCATCCAAAATACACAATTTAAAAATCTCAAATGTTTTGAAACGCACAGAAAAAGCTTGTTAAAGTTAAACTGGCAGACAAATGCAGCACGTCTAATTTGAAACAGCACTGTAATCTATTCCCATTATGAATATATTGTATATATTAATAATTCTATTAGACTATCAGTATGTGAATTACAGAACAGACTGAGTTGTGTTGCTTTTGTTGCACTGATTTCAAAATTAGAAAAAAATGAAGATACACTGCGGAACAGTTTCATTTGTAATGCATTTGTAGTATATTGGGAGGGGGGGGGGGTCCGTCTGTATTTATACAAGAAACTTCACTACAAACACTACATTGTCTGATATAGTGTATTGTTGCAATGTTTATATTGTGATCTCGACGTCAGCATTACAGTACTTCCCAGAACAGACGCTGCTAATCCTGATTTAAAAAAAACAACAACAAAAAAAAACTACAGACTCTCTTCTCAGCAGTTTTACTAAACAATTTGTTTACTTTAAACAGCACCTACAGGCTGTGGACAACACATTTTTACCAGGATTCTTTCCAACCTCTTATTCTAGAGAACTCTCTTCGGTACCTCTGTGCTTTCATGTGCTATCTGGGTGACTCCTACAAGAGTAACCACAGTGATGGTCCCAATGCACACAGGTTCAGCAGAGAGTGAACAAACCAAAGGCTGCGGGGACTAAGATCGTCTTAAGTACTGCACTGGCAGAGACGTGCTCACATGCAAAAATTCGCCACATAGAAAATTCAGGATAAATAGTTGTGCCCCTATTTTGTTAATGTAGGAGAATCTGATTCAACCTTTTTACAGGAAAAACAAAAAGCTAAACAAAAGATGGAGCATGGGATAAAGTTAGAAGCAGCAAAATGTGCGTACTTCAGAACCCGACTCTAAAATAACTTTTTTTGTGATCTGTAGGAGTGTGTCAGCTGAGACAACGATACGATGCGCTGAAGCACTCCTTGTCAGAACAGAGCTATGACGATGGCAAGGATGCCACTGAAGTGATGACAATCAACTGAATCAATCATCAGGTGTGTTAGAAATGCTTAGAGCAGGGCTATTCATCAAAACTGCTCAGGGGGCACAGTTTCTGAATGCCGGCAGCTCAGGGGCGAACATCCAGCAATTTTTTTTTCATTCAACCTTTATTTATACAGGATAGTCTCACTGAGTCACAAGGACTTATTCACAAGAGAGACCTGTTTAAAACAACAACAACAACAACAAAAAAAGTAAATAAACCAAGTATTACAATGATGTTATCTTTAAAATTTAAATACCTTTCACATTTGTTTGTTTTATTGCATTGAGTCATGAATGCAATAAACAGAACCCCAAACTAAGAAAAAAAAATTTAACTCATTTGTGGGTTGGACTGAAGTCCGGCCCACGGGCCACCTGTTGAATAGGTCTGGCTTAAAAGCTCTTTGAGTTAGACAAACAAGTTTAGTAGTGTGCAGCAGGCCTCCCTACACACCCCAATCTTGTTTGTGTCATTTGAAGAGAGCAAAACCAGGAAAAAAACTTAAGCTGCGTGTGATCACTTTAAGGCTTATCTATGTTGTTTTGGGGAAAAAATAAAAATAAGAAGTATGCAGCTCAAACTAACATGGATTTTTATAATAACACACTCGGGTTGCCAGACCACGTTTCCATCAACTGTGCACTTGGGTAGCCAGACCACGTTTCCATCAACTGTGCCAAGTATTGGGTTTTAAAAAGTGTTTTGAAACATTTGTGCAATTTTAAAATGTGGAATAAGTACTACACAGTCTGGGGGAAAAAAATCATATACTTAAAACACTTTTATATTTGATTGGGTGTAAAACAACAACAAAAAAATATTCCCAAACTCACGTCAATAAATAATTCTAGTCTAACAATAAAATAAACTAAAGCACCAAAACAAAATTGTTGCCTCTGTTGATGGTTACATGTTTTTCATGTATTGATCATGTATTTCTTGTACTCATCAACTGAGCCCTTGAACGAGAACAAAAATGACAAAACAACCAGGAGTAAGTTACTGTTTTCATTAGGATTGAGGTAATAACTATATTCAAGCTTTCTGTGCCAAACGTTTGCATTTGATTTTCATCGCCTCAGTAGCTTAATCTCTTCAGGAATTTATGGTGATCTAATAAATACCCACACACCACTGGAAGAAGGTGAAACAGCAAAAATGCAGCAATCTAACTTTTCTTTCCTCAGGTATGCGACGACGTAAATAAAAAGGCAAGTAGTTTACAACAGCCTCTATGTGGACCAATACTGACCAGCACCACTGTGGATACATTTTGCAAAGAAAAAAAAAAGTGAATAACTTAATTCTTTATGAAAAGTGAGGTTTATAGCTTATCTCCTTGGTGACCAGCCATAACACTTGGTTTAAAAAAAGGCTGACTCCATTTTGAGTATTTCCCTACCCACATCACATCTCAATGCACACAAACACACTAAAGTGTAGACACATCGAGATCAAGTGACTTGCTATTTTAGGAGGAAGACTGATGCAAGCTACAAAAAATAATTTGACAGAGACCCATAAAAGAAAACCCCTCAGGCCAGGTTTTATATTTACTGCATGTAGGCAAAGAAGACTGAGTAAAGGGCATGAAATGTTTGATTATTGGGAAGAATGGAGTTGAATGAGTTCACCTTGAGTCAGTTCCCCAGTGCATGGCATAGATTTTAGCCAGATGCCCTCTCAGCGTTCGTCTAGTGCGCATCTGAATTCGGCCAACAGGGTCAACGTTAGCTGTGATCTAAATAGGAACAAAATAAAAGTAGAGCTACTTTGAGAGAACCTTGACAATATTTTGTGTTGTGTACACAATCTTTACGAAGTAGTTTGTTGAAAGCTCTTTTTAAAAACAATGTCCTTTGTGAATACCTTGAAACACATGAAGCTGATTTCAATACATATTTTATAGCTTAACATAAAATGATAGATTCACAATCATGCACAATGTACGTTATTTTGATTTTATTTTTTACCTGAGACAGGGTAGCATCTGCACACGCTTTCCTGGCATCCTGAAACAAAATGATACAATCAGTATTCCAATTAAAATTTAAATTAGCGGAAAAGTTGGCATTAGAATTACCAGACTATTAAAACTTGGTGGTATGCAATGAGAAGCAATTTAAAACTAATAATGTGTGTTATCATTCTAATTTGACTCTGGCACCGACTGTTCAACAGCAGCAAATTTCAATGTACGCATTGATGGCACACAAGTGGAAAAGATACATGGAAACATTGAACTGAAAAGGATATTAATTTACTCCTCATCTTGGCGCATAAATAACTCGTATGGTGGTCAAAATGGGAATATTCCTTCAAATATCTTTCATAGATCAAAATATTGTCAGTTGGTTTGTTTAACTCATGACAAAATGTACTGGTTTGGTTTCCAACTGAACAGCATAGAACTACAGCAGTGGACCTGCAGATGTAGGAAAGGGACTTACTCTGATCTGGTTCTTGAGTTGCTCAGCCTCCTGGCGTAGCTGATCCAGTTCACTCATTTTCCTCTGCTAATGGTGTGCTTTGCTCCGCCGCCTAGACTCTTGCTGATCTATAGAAGACAAGATAGAAAAAGCTCAACGTGAATGTCAAACACGTCACACTTTCGATCTGTAGCAATACACGAAGTTAGACTGAACTAACAATTTTGAGCACCACATTATATTTACGCTACCGCTCATTGTAGGAACGTGCATCTTTCTTAAGTTAACAATTTATGGACAATAACTTCAGCAAAATGCAGCCGAAGATCAGAGTTTTTCATAAATCCGTTCCATGCAGCTCAGACAAAGTGAAAGCGAATCACTTTTGAGACAGCTCAAGACTTGTCCTTGCCAGCTTGAAACTGTAGCCTAGCAACAAGCTCTATGCAGCTTCTTAAGGCTTAAGGTAACAAATTTGAGCATGATGGTGAATGGTTTTACTTTTTCCTCCCAAACAGCAAACCTTTGGGCAAACATCTTGGAACAATCGAGGAGGAATGCAATTGCTCAAATCTATAAAAATAAATAAATCCATTCCTGCACATTCGAGCACAACATACCTCTTAATTTTCAAAATACAGTAAGGATCAGGTGTACAGCCATCAAGAAACAACCAAGTCAAAAGACCACCCAGGGGTTTGCTGTACTACTGTAGACCCAAGGTGTTCGGAGGTGTAGGGTTTGTTAATGCTATCAATGCTTGTAAACTCTAAACTCCCTTTCCAATGTCATCCCTGTAATCCTGGGACACAGTTGATTCAGCTCCTCCAGCCAAATCCGGTTAAGACAAAACCTGCTGATGATCCTAAAAGCAGTGGCTATCCCGCTGACCCCAATCCTCTGGTTGACGCTTTTAACACATACTTTCACTACCCATAAAAAGTTTTGTGCAAAGGAAAATCATATCCCAATAAAACTGAACTTGGGCTCAAATGCTGGAAGGCATCCAACAAGGTTGAGTCAGGTCCTCTGGACTCTGGACAGATTCTTCTTTGTTGAAACATTTCGTCTGGAAGGCATGTTACAACACGCAACACTTAAAAGAATCACTACTGATCGATGCAAGTATGCAAGCCATGTTAAGACGCTAAACTTTCCCTTCACTACAGCTTCAGTTTAAAATTGATTTAATCTCCTAAAATAAAAAATCGTATCAATTCTCCAACATCACCAGTTCCAAGAACCATCCGTCGTATGAAATAAAATTGGTCTTTTCTTAAACAATCTTGATTGGTCAAATAAAATAAACACTGAAAACACACCTTACCTCACTGTTTCTGTGTGTTTAGATTCAAGCTCTTCCTCCTGAAGAGTGTTGAGACCTTCTGAATGAACACTTTATCCTACATGTGCCTGAGATCTTAGCAGCTCCCTGTCACCTGATTGGCCAATGCTATCTCAGCAAGGCTCCTTAGCACCCTAATCTTTGTGATAAAAATATGTTGGTGCATAATTATTAATGTCTTCTTTTTGATACACACCTATATGCGGAGTAAAAAGCAAAAATATTTGTCATTTTTCAAAACAAAAGGGTCTGAAAAAGTTAAAACATGAACACATTATTGACCTTTAGAAAAGACTGGATTAGGTCAAGGACTGCTGTGCTACAATTAAAGTAAAGCATGTTGGTGACGGCAACCCACGTTTATTAGAAACAGCATTTCAAATTTAAGCATCTTTGTTGATTTTTATTTCACAATGCCAAAGTTACAAAATATTCTTGGTAAAATAGTTAAAGACAAAGGCTAAATTATGTGACCTAAACAGTTTTGAAACCAGCCATTAGGGTACAAAGTGAACAGCACCCACAAGTTGAGCAGAAAAAAGAAAAAGCAAACAAATTTTTTTTTAATTAAAACGGGTGCGTCTCATTTAGCTTATTCATTTGCTTAAGATTAGAAACCAATCAAACAAGCACGGACATTCAGACATTTTGTCAAAGACTAATTTTAGATGAGCACAAACAATATGTGATGTGATCTACTGCAAAAATATTGTACTTTAAGGACTTTATAAACCTGTTATGAACTGGGGTATCTGCACATGTGTGCAGGTAATTTGTGTGCTGCACCAGGTGTTAATGGGTTAAACAAGACAAACGCGTGCTCGGTTGGCTGAGGTCAGGTGATGCTTGAAAGACGTCAGGAAAATTCCCCATCTTCCCTCTTCTTTCTAAAAAGAATGTATAAACGTAACTGTGATGGGACACCCCGTCACTCCTTCAAAGCATTTTAGCATTTAGTCAAAGTGTTCTATATTTTTTATAATTTATTTAATAATTTAAGACTTTGCATAATAAAAAGTATAAATGTTACTTTCGTCAACGACTGATTTCAAAACTACTACCAAAGATCCTAAAATAAATCAGAAATCCTTACTGATTATCAGTATTAGCACAAGTGGTGTGATTGAGAGAAATCTTTTTCCTATTCTGCTAGTGGTGGGAGTGTTGAAGCCACTGGCGGTGCAACAGATAGAGCCTCTTCTCTGCCGCCTTCTCTTTCTACCAGCTATTTTTAGTTAGGTGCAGGGGGAGGAGGAGAAAGAGGAGGAGGGAAGCAGACTTCACATTTTCCAGCCACTCCTATCAGCTCCCACATCTCGAGTGCAACAGTGACAAGGAGAGAGGAAGTGTAATTCGACTCCATACAGACACACACTTCATTGTTATTTCTTCCTCCCGAAGAGCAATAATCACCACCTACTTTCACACCATTTTAATTTAGCCTAAAATGTTTAGCATGAGCTTCCTTTACAAGAGTACAAGATAAAAATAACTTGTTTAAAATTAGATTTTTTTTTGCTAAGTCTAGAAATAAAATTGTGCCTATCATGCATCATCATATCATGTATTTCAACTCAACTTAAAAGCATTAAGGAAATAAAAACACACGTCACATCTCTCCATTCATACCGAACACATGAAAGGTAAACAAAAGAACTAGGGTAGCATGTGTAAAAGGACATTACCCATAAAATGCTCTAATGGGGTTTGGCAGAAGATTTCTGGGGCAGACAAGATGTTGTCACCCTGATGACACAAGAAAACAGGCAAGCAGAGAGATGTTCTTGTGCACAAGAGGATAGAAGCCAGTGAGGCAAGCTGGAGGACAGACGCAGATTAAACTAATGAGAGTGAACAAGCAGAGGACAATTGGGAGGGTAGCTGCTAATTAACCCTTTGATAAAGGGGGAGCAAGGCATGTTAGTGTACATGTATATATATATTTTTTTTAAATCAAAATGGGAATACACTCTTGATTTCATGGCCTTCGTGAAGTGTTGCTTGTTATTCATTTTACTTTAGTTTTCATCCTAATAAAGTCCGTGTTTAGGTGCTCATACTTACAAAACACTGCCTATAATGAACAAAAGGTCAACAGTGAGAACATTTAAATGACATAATGAACATTCGTGACTTAAAAATTAAACTTTTCCTGGTGAAACATGGTGTTCGTGTATTGGTGCTTGCAAGACAATTGCCTCAGGTTCAGACACTTTGACTAGTAATTGTAGAAGTGAAAGAAAAAATTGGCCATGTTTGGTTTCAAAACATTATGAATACGAAAACATTAAATAAGAAATAATGAATTATGAGTATGTTATTTTGAAGTGGTGAACATTTTGGTAACCTTAGCTTTAAGTGAACTCTAGCCATATTTCTGTATCACTACTTTCTGTAGTGATAACTTTGGAACCTGTAGCAGAAGTTTTGTGGAGTTTCTCAATATCAAACTCAAGACCATAAAATCGAATATTTCAAATTACTAAATCTAATATATATATATATTTTTTTTTTCTTCTTTTTTCTTTTTTTCTAATATTGTCCAGCTTTCAGATGAACTGTAAAAGGAAGGTGGTTATTTTAAAAGGTGCAGTAATGATGACCTTAATAATTTACGCCCTCCTGCTTGGACTCCAGCTGCCCCACCCTTTGTAGTCTTAAGGACTGCATCCAGTCTTGCTTGCCTAATTGTTTCTTTTAACTTGCCTTACTGTAGAACAGAGTGCTTAGAGTGCCATTTGAGTTGTGGTTAATTTGTTCCCACTAACACTTTGAGCTGCAGCACATTGTGGAGATGGCTGGTTAAATGCAACTCAACCAGTGGTTGGCTATAAGCAGTGCCTGAGCAAATGATCATTGTAGCATTCTACCTACAATGTAATACAAGCACATAGTATCAGTAAGCAGGCGTTTCCTTTTTCAAGGGTGTTTCCTAGCTGTGCTCGTCTCTTCCCTTTGTCAAAACATTCAGCGGATGTGGCGACAGAGCATACACACTTTACAAATACACTTTGTGGTTTCTTTTATTAGCGTTGACTTGCTAATGCCCATTCAGACCTAAAATCTGGCTATGCAATCAACTGCATTACAGTAACAAATTCCACACAAAAGGCAGGCTTACGGGAACAGACAAATTATGGGAAGGGAAAGTAGAAATAAAAACAAGAGGATGTATAGGAGGCACTATGTGTGTTGTTTGGTACAACACCAGGCCAACACTTAAATTAAGGTCAATGCAATGTTTAGGCTCAACACAAACTGATTAACATTGGTGGGCACAGCTAACCAAAAGGTTAGCTTCGCTAACCCATAATCTGCCAACTAAAAATTAGCTTTGCTAATGCTAAACTGCTAAGACAACTGTCATTCAGTCTGTGTCACACATCTTTGCCCTTTTCCAGTTGAAGCTGCGTCGATCAATCACATCTCGTCACATGTACACATGTGCCTGCACATGCCTGCAGCTAGCTGCTGATGCGTCGACCAATCGCGGCTTGTCACGTGTAGTAAGTCAATAGCGTGCTTAACAGATTCTTCAAGACACACCCACAACAGACAGGCTTGCAGGGATCATCTTTACTAGATGACCAAACCACCTCAACTGGCTCCTTTCGACGTGGAGGAAAAGCGGTTCCACTCTGAGTCTCTCCTGGATGACTGAACTTCTCACCCTATCTCTAAGGGAGAGGCCAGCTACCCTGCAGAGGAAACTCATTTCAACCGCCTGTATCTGCTATCATTATTTTGGTTACTACCCAGCGCTTGTGACCATAGGTGAGGGTA